CCATTTGTATCTTTTGAAACACATGAAACTAAAAAAATTTAAAAGACATGAAGGTTACTGAAACAAGATGTCTCTATATAAAAACCTGCTCAAGTCTTCCTTTAAGCCCCACCCCAACGCAAATTCAAGTTGCAATTTTGAATTTAAATTTACTTTTTCCCCAAATGCTCCTGGATTGAACCCTTGAGACTGACTCTCGAGAAGGGTCAATTTCTCTGTTGGGTGATACATTTATCAAACTGAATTTGGCATCCTGTAGATAAAACTATTTACCTGGTTAAGTTCATCCAACTTAATAGATAGCTGTCAAAACACTTTAGTGAGTAAAGTCTGATCAATTAACTCAAGGAACTCAATCTTTTACATTTTATGGTAAATAGACTCAAAGAATTTTATCTGATTTGTTAAAATAAAGACGAATTAAATAAATCATTGAGGTGAAAGAGGTCAGGTATGAGGCCTAGTGTGGTGAGTGTCTAGGGAAATCATTTGGCTAAAAATAACTTTTTCTTATTATATTTAATAAATGTCCTATTAAGCCTAATGTGACCTATAAGGCAGTTATTCCAGAAATAAATCACCTAAACTGAATGGTTTTACCAATTTTAAATTAGTGATAAGTAGACATAAATTTAACAGTTACAAAATAGGTGAAGTTCAGTTTGCAAAACTATGTAACACTGTTTTCCACTTGACTATATAATTTTTAATATACTAAATTTGCAATACTTATTCAAAACATAGTTAATATAACTGATAAAACTTCTTAATCAAAAACGTACTGTGTCTGCAGATCAATTCTTCAAATGTTTTCATTAATTTGACTTTTGTTTTATATTTTGTTACAGAAAGGATGTGAGTCAACTTAAAAAATAGATTCAATAAATTGGGAAGATATAATTAGATAAATTTCAGAATCAAGAAAAACAAGGTGGAACAGAAGCACAAGACCAAAGGGAAAGTTAGAATATTGATATTAAGCCATAGGTTTTTATGGGGTTATTAAAATTGAGTTGCAAATTTGACTCTATTTCTTGGTTGCCAAATCAGAAAGAGAAATAGAATCATTTATCTGACTCAAGTTTTGCATGATGAAAAAAAGGTCTGCATATTTGTTCAGGGAAAGTTAGGCCTTTCTTTGGCATCTAGAACTGAATGATGCTTTCCTGCAAGGGCCTTCAAACAGGAGCTGCAGAAGGGACTATAATCCTAACCACATCTTGTAAATAACAAAACTGCAGGTTTCTTATGACTGTAGTTATTAATAGAACACTCAGTTTAAGCAGGGGTGGTGGTTTGCAGTGAAGTTAAGGATGCAAAATAAGGTAAGAAAAGTATGTAATGTCTGAAGATATGGCTACACTCCTGATCTAACACCTATAATTAGAGAGATTGGAGGATGTCATGGCCTTTGTTCAGCCAACCCTCTGCAAACATCTTTTCTCTCAATTAAGCTTCTGATCAAATTTATGAGCAATTCAGTCTCTGGCATGTGCAGAAACAAAAGCATTCTATACAACTGTTGAGGAGAGATTAGTACACAATTATTCTTCAACCACCAACCAGTGCCTATAGTATTTGAAATGCAAAGTTACACTAATTTTCTTCCCTGTATCTTTTCTATAACCACAATAATTCTGGTTTCAAAATTTGTATATTGAATAGTGGATCTTAATGGATGGAAACAACATAAATTATGGGTTGGGATATAAAAGGACAGTAAACACTTAGAAAGGGATGGAGGACTCAGTAAAGGAGCTATAGAAATGATAGTGAAAATAAGAGAATAAATCCTGGTCTCTAAATAACTTTCCAGTGGTGAATGTGGAGGAGGTTGCTGGGGTACACCAGACAGAACCCAGTTAGTAAGTCACGCAGTCACAGAGGGATTGCCATAGAGGTGCGGGACACACAGAAAAATGCCTCTCCCTTTCTGATATTAGAAACCAGCACTTATTTGATTGTGAGTCAAGACCAAGAGTTCCAGCTGACTACAAGTGCTCAACTTCTATTGGTCAAATAAACAAATAAGTGTGTATTATGTGCAACAAAGAACGTTTATTGTAACCATAAGGGAGGGTTCTTTTGAGAAGCGGACAGTGATCAAGAAAGAATAAAGTAAATTAATTGCTCAATATCCTTGATTATAAATTTAAGATGTGTAAAATATAATCATTTTTATTTCATGGGGAATTCATTTTATTTTAATAAATCATATCAAAGTAGATTTTTTCATAAATTCCTTCCTACTGATTATGCCCTCATTTTACTGCATTTTACATAAAAGAGCTTTACTTGAAGGAGTTATTTCCTCACCTAAGAAGAGCCCAACTAGGCTAGAGAAGCAATACTAATAAATCATGGCTTACTATAGTTTTGTGAAAATAAATCTTTTGGGTAATAGGCATTGAGGATGATGGAGGTATTAAAATGACAAAAAAAAAGATAAAAGAACAGAAAGAAAACAAATGACTGGACCATTCCCAGATATTTTGTTAAACAATGCCATTGAAAAGCAGTTAATACTGATCCATAAGACTTACTTGACACGAAAATAAAAACAAAACCGGAAAATATCATAGTATAAAAATAATAATGCAAATAAAATGTGATAAAGTCATCCTTGTTGGTTTTTTTAACCCCAAGATAATACAAAATTTAAAAGCAGAAAAAGGACTGAATCTTCCAAACCTGTGATTTCACAACCATCCTGGTTATCAAACTTGGAAAATGAAATGCCTATGTTCTGAAGAAAACCCACACAGCTGAAAATGTCTATGTGTACTATGTATTTTGCATCATTTAGGAATGACAGACAATTGGAAACTGCTTTATTTTTTACAGGAAAAGACATGCATTGAACTGTATTATAAGATCAACCACAGTAACTCAACTCTAAAACAAGTTAATATGTCACCTATTAACCAAATCACTGTTACCTTTGCTGTAACTTAGAGTTTTCTTTCAAACATGAGTTGCATTTTAAAAAAGTTAGGTTGAAAATTTAATTAAAATAAGTTTGATTACCAATGAGACTGGAGAATTTGCAAACTTAAGACATGAGCCATGAATTACTAGGATTTGGGAAGACTTACTTCACTTGATACATTTGAGAAGGATAGCGCATGGTTCTAAAAATGTCAAAAATCACACTTAAATGTTAACCGAATTTGTCTATTTATAAGAAAATGCAACTTTTAGCCTCCAGTTAAACTGCAATGGCTACAGGACAGACAAGGGCATTTTAATGATGAACTGTCATCTTTAGATGAAGTTTCAAATTCAGTTCATTCAACAAAAAACTAATTAGCTCCCATTACGCTTAAGACGCAAGGGGTTGGGAGGACAGAACTGAACAAGACGACGATGTCCTCCTGGAGTGTACACTGATTCATTTTCCAAGGTTCTCAACCTTATTAACACATTAGTATAAAACTGATCCACCTATTGCTTAATATAAACCTATTGCTTAATATATTTTTTTAAGACTGCCTGTGGAGAGGGACTCTTGACAAAACCTCTGATGTATGAAGTTTACACTAGAGGAAAAAAAAAATACTAAAAACCAGGTTCTGAGATATACAAGCCCTACCCTCTGTGGAGTTAGGCTGCGCACAATGCTGCCTCTGCTGGCCAACTCCGTGCATCCTTCCAGCAGATTCTCAACTCCCAACACCTGTATCAAACTTGCCACTCACCACATCCCTTCACCCAAGCCCGAGGCTCCTAAATGGGCAGCCAGAAAACATCGGAGTCTCATCTATCTCCGCTGCAATTAGATTCCTAGAAGGACCCTCTCTAACTGATCCTAAAATGTTTATTTAAGGGTTTGCGCCATAGATATATGCACCCTCCCACCCCCACGACTTTTATATGCCGCTAAACTAACGTTTTGGGTGATTACATGTTTGGCCATAACAGGAAGAACGCATCTGCCAACGCAGTCGTCAAAAATGCGGTGATACATTTCTACCTGAGCTGCTGAAAACGCAACGGTTCCCCCCAGCCCCCGCCCCATAAGTCACATGCCAACCCGTGCCCCCCACGCCCGCCGCACAGCGCGTACACCACCCCACCGGGGGGTGGGCGGGGAAGGGTCAGGGTCTCCTTCGCCACAGCTCGGCCTCCCGAGCTCAAGGAGCTCCAGGAGAGGCAGTCAGGTTATCAGGGGGCTGCGCCCAGCGCCATTAGCACACCTCGGAGCGCTCCGCCGAGCCCCGCCGGGAGGCAAGTTTGGCGGGTCCTGGACCCGGCCCCGACCTCTCCCCAGCAGCAGCAGCAGCTGCCGGCGGCCGGGAAGGCTGGTCCCCGCCTCACTCACCTACCTACAGGGCGGGGGCGCCTGCTCCTCGGGTCCCGGAGAAGGGGATCGGACGCACGCATTTCGGGGAGCGGTGGCCTCTGCGGCTCCGCGCGAGGGAGCGCATCCTCCAGGGTGGGTGGAAGGAGGGGTGGGGGAGGACCGTGCGCCGAGGAGGAGCTCGGGGTGGAGGCGGGAGCGCCTGGGCGTGCGCCCCTAGAGACCAGCGTCCAGCGCCGGAGAATACGGCGGCCGCCGGGACGCCACCGGCCTCTCCCCACCCAGCGCGCGTCGCCAGCCCTGCAGCCGCGCCCGCGGTCAGGATCGCCGGCCCTGCCGAGGCGGGAGCGGCTGGTGGCACGACGCGGTGCACACGCCCGCCTCTAGCTCCGCCCGGCCCGCGCCACGCTCTGCGCTCCCGCGCCGCGGCGGGGCCGGGGAGGTCGGCGGCCGGGCGCTGCGGGTCGGGCTGCCGCTGAGGCATCCTCCGCGCCCGGACGACCCGGAGCTGGGCACCCCCGCCACCCCCAGCGGCTGCAGCCTCCGCGGCCCCGCGCTGCCCCGGCCCCGGCCCCGCGGCTCCGCCCCGGAGAGCTGCGCGCGCGGCCTCCGCAGGCCTCGGCCCTTTGTGACGCCTCCGCTCGGTGAGCTCCTCGCCGACCCGGCGATCGGGCGTCGAAGCCTCGGAGAGTCGTCCTACCTTTCCCCGGCCGCGGCCCACAGCTGGCCAGCTGTGGCCTCCGCTCTTGGTGGGAGAGCAAGGCTTTGAGAGACGAGCTGGAGATAGTGCTTCTCCCCCAGCTTTGGTTCCCTGAGGTTCCTTCCAGCCTTGGGACCACTGACCACAGTAAATTCATCCATCTGTCCTTTCCGGCGTTGAGCGAAATGCTCAGGGCCCCCCATCTCCTCTCCCTCCAGCTTCTGACCGCGTTGCAGCACCCCCGATACTGCCAAATTGATCTCATTACAGCAACAGGAACGTAGCAATTGGGGCCCTCCAGGCCAACTGGGGCAGACACCCCAGGGACCCTTAGTTGGAAGGATTTGCATCAGCGGCGGGTGGGGGGAGACTGCCTGTTAGGACCCCACCCCCACTTGGGTGCTGTTCCCTCTACAGTCCCATGATGAACACTGCAAGGATGAGTAGGGCGATCTGACCGTGAGATTTACCCTTACACACAGAAGAAACCTCAAGGCAGAGCCTGCAGCTGATCCGATAACATTGGTGTGTCAGAGACCATACATACGCACAGGCACAGAGATAGCGGCTGCCTCTGGCTTGTTAATGCTGGTTGTGCTGTAACAGCCTCTCAAGGAAGGCAGAGCAAACACTTTTAACTTGGGAATTTCATTTGCAAGTGGTCATGTGTATTATCTTGCAAACTATGAAGTAATCACCCCAATTCTGCACTGAGGAAGTGTAACATCGAATCTCAGATTCACATCTTTTTGGTTTGAATGTGATGAATTTTTATTTAGGTTTTATGTTGTATGCAAATTATTTTCAGAGGAAAATTAAGCTTCTACAATACAAAGACTTGATTTCTTGCATCAAAAGAACATGGTTTGAGATTTCCAGAGAAACTGAGCTGCACATACATCTTTGACGCATGCTGGCATAATTTTAAAATATTCGTTTTTTTAAAAAAAAATAACAAAGAGAAGACGTGTTCCATAGTACTATAAACTGTGATAACACTGCTAAGACTTTTTGAGATGAGTTCTTTTGAAAAGCAATCTGGCAGGAAATGCATGTCCCGGTCCAGGAAACCCTGGATTCCTGACCTGGCCACTGCCAGGGGTTCGGGTTCAACTAGAGCCCTAGTTTCTTTTCAAAAGGTAGCCAGTGTTATTGATGATATTTCGCTCCAAATTCAGAATATCTCAATTATAGGAAAGCATGTACATATGTATATATGTGATGTATTTAGGACAGAATGAAGTCACTTAATGACAACTGGACAGTTGCTTACTCTTTAATAAAATGACAATGGAGTTCTGTCTTAGAATGTAAGTTCTGTAGGAAATGTCCATTGAGTTGCAATTGTTCACCTGTTTCCGTGCTTTTATCACCGAATCCCCTTTTGTGTTTCTCTCTGTGGACTCCATGAGAATTCATTACATATATTTTACATTCTGATAAACATTTTCATATAAGCTGGTGCTAAGACACTAGTGCTAAGTTATAATTTAAAATTCTGAAATGAATCCCTAAGTTCAAAGTGACATTAATCGATAGGGATAGGGTGGGAGGTGTTTGGATTTATTGTGTGAAAGAAAGTTACAAAGTTGCAGTATTAAAATGAAAAGGGAGTTTCTGAAGGAAATAATTATAGATTCACAAAAAGTTGTAAAAAATGTACAGGGAACCCCCAGGTTACCCTCAATTTCCCCCCAAAGGTAACATCTTGCATATTAAAGTACAATATGAGAAAGCAGAAAATTAACATTGGTACAATCTTTAATGATTTTTCAGAGCTCACCACTTTACAATACTCTGGTGCGTGTGTTTGTGTGTGTGTGTGTGTGTCTGTGCAAGTTTACCACCTGCTTAGGTTATTGTACCATCATCATGAGATAAAGAACTGTTCTATCACTGTAAGGCCCCCACAATCTACCCCTGTATTTCTCTAATTCCTGTCAATCACTAATCTTTCCTATCTCTGTTATTTCAAATTTCTATATAAATGGAATCATAGAGTATGTAGCCTTTTAGACTGGCTTTTTTTTTTTTTAAGATTTATTTATTTTTATACAAGAATTGGGATACAGGCCAGAGATGTGGGGGGGGTGAGAGGATTCACCAGAGACAGAGTGGGGAACAGAACAGGCAGACGGACGGACGGAAGTACACTGCTGAGGGGAGCAGTGGGCAAGACAGGAGAGGTCTGTCCCACCATGTGGGTCTCTCCCTGGTGGGCTGGGAATCGAACTCATGCTGCAGTGGTTGCAGATTACTTCATAGTTTGTGTCTTAACCCCTGCGCCACCAGGGAGGCCCAGGGCCTTTTGTTTTTTAATCCCGCTCAGCATAACTTTCTTGGGATCTATCCAAGTTGTTACATATATCAACAGTTGGTTCTTTTTTGCTGATAAATATTCTGGGGTACGGATGTACCACAGTTTCACCATTCACCCATTGGGAGACATTTTTTTTTGTTTCCAGTTTGGGGCTATTATGAATAAAGCTGCTATAAATATTTGTGTGCAAATTTTGTGTGAAATTTTCATTTCTCTGGGATAAATGCCCAAGAGTACAATTTTCTGGATCATGTGGTAAGTACATGTTTAGTTTTATAAGAAACTGCCACAATATTTTCCAGAGTTGCTGTACCATATTACATTCCCTTAAGCAAAGTATGTGTGATTGAGGTGCGTTTTTAATCTATTAAATAAACATATTAAATGAATGTATTCATATATTTCTTTCTCATCCATTACTCTACTGTATTGTAATTGTTTATATGAACCCCACCAGTCTAAGCTTTAAGGACAGGGACCCTTGATGTCCTTGCTGCCTACCAGAGTGCCTCATATGTATTAGTCAATAAATATTTGTTCAGTCACTGAACAAGAATAACTGAATGAAGTTGAAATCAAATTGAAAAATAAATGAGAGTGAGACAATTAAAATATCAATATTTTGGATGATGGAATATGGGTGATTTGGTGGTGAGTATACTACTATGATGATATTTCATGGGGAGGGTCCCAATGTTACCTCAATTTAAAAAAAAGTAATTTTTTTTATAAAATCACCATTTTGTCACCACCATTAAATAATTAATTCAGCCAAGGATCATCAGTAGATGTTAAAACCTTTGGATTAAAGTTTGCTGGGAAACAGAAAAGACATTTTTAAAGTATCACTTCCATGGGTAATATTTGCTTTTTTGATAGCTATGGATTACAAGTATTAAAAAGATAACTTTACTGGAGAAATATGGAAGAGAACTAGTTTCCTACTGCTGCTAGCAAAATTATAACAAACTTAGTGTCTTAAAACAACATAAATGTATTATCTTACAGCACTGCAGTCTGGAAGTCTAACACACTTCTCACTGGTCTAAAATCTAGGTGTTGGTAAGACTAACTTCTTTCTGGAGAAAAGCAACCTTCTAAAAGCAACCTGCATTCCCTGGTTTATGGTCCCCTCCTCCAAGTTCAATGCCAGCAAAGGCAAGTGGAGACTTTCTCACATCATGGGGACACTGACTCAGTTTAATTCCTCCTTCACTTACCAGAACCCTTGTGATGATTTGGGGCCCACTCAGAAAGTCTCCATTCCAACACCCTCCATTTAATCACAACTGAAAATTTCCTTTGACATGTTAAAGTAACATACTCAGTTATTCTGGGAACTATTATTTTGCCATTTACCACTAGCATTATCTGAATTCTGGTGTAAAGTTCTGAGGACACATCACTTAATGTTTATTTCTTGCCAAAAGAAACACTTAGCTGAGTTGAGAGATCTTGTGAAACAACTACTGTCCCCCAGTATTCAAAAAAAGATCAATTTGTAAAAAAAAAAAAAAAAAAAAGTAAAGCAAAGAAAATTGGGGAACTATTGTTCCATACTAAAGGAAAGAGACTACAGAAATGTGACAACTCAATACAATGTGTAATATTTGAGTGGCTCCTGGATAAAAAGAAAAAGTATAAAAGGTGTTATTGAGATAATGGAAAATGTTGATTATTGACTATATAATAAATAAGAATTTAGTATTAAATTTAAATTTCCTAAATGTGATAGCTGTATTACTTGCTCTTAGGAAATACATATTTAGAAGTAAAGTATGATGTCTGCAACTAAACTCAAATGGCTCAGAAAAATTAGATCAACAGTAAGAAAATATGGGAAAAATATTAACAATTGGTGAATCTAGATCAATGCTGTAAAATAAAAATATAATGCAAGCCACATATGTAAATTTAAGTATTCTAGTAGCTACATTAAAAATGTAAAGAGAAAATGAAATGAATTTTAATAACATTTTAACTGAATATGTTTTCAATTATCACTTCAAATGTAAACAGTGTAAAAACTATTAGTGAAATATTTTATATTCTTTTTTAAATTAAGGCTTAAAAATCCAGTATGCATTCCATTATAGAACATCCAAATTCATTCTAGTCACACTTCAATGTATAATAACCAGATGACTCTGATTCTGTAAATTGGACACCATGGGACTAGATGAGGTAAATGTGTGCTCATTGACCTACATGTGCAATTTTCTACCTGTTTGGATTTCAAAATAAATTGGGGGCGGGGAGAAATAAATACTTGTTTGTGTATTTAAAGACAATTCCAGGAGGATGCAGAAGAGGCTGGCTAACACCCTATCTCTGGCAAAAAGAAATGAGGAGAGATTGGGGGGCTTAGCAAGAGATAATGTTTTCCACTGTACCCTTTTGTGCTTTTTGTACAATATTGTGACTTTACCTATTGAAATTTAAATCATTCTAAAAATAATATCTGCTTTATTTTTTAAAAATTCAAAACCAGACACTCTAATTTTAGAGCTATAGAGCTGGTTATATCCCCCAACTGAGAGGTAAGAGCTCCACCTACTGCATAGGGTTTCCTAAAATTCCTGGAATTTGGAAAGACGTGTGTCCCATTTAAAGAGTCCCATCTAAAATCGGATTAAATTTAGAATTTTTTCTGGTGACGTTTCCATCTTTATTTATGAGTCTTAGTCCTTTTCATCTTCCTGTTGGCATATTAGTAAGTAATTTCGGGTAAATTTTATCAATAATCTGAACTCCAGCTCTGAATTGCTGAAAACAAGAAGCAATATTCAAGCACCTAAATTCCGTGGTGATGGGTGAGGGCTGTAATTCACAGTGGGGCCGGATGTTGTGAGCAAGTTCATTACAAATTTATATGTTTTACTTAAGCCTCCTTCCATCTTGCAGCGGAAAGCTCTCTCTGGAGTTACATTTGTCTAGCTGTAACAGTTGGCACTTTCCAAGCTGAATAACATCCTATTGCTTTTTGCTGGAGTTTCAATAAGCTGCTAAATTGAGAGTGGGCTGTAAGGTGTCTTGACTCCTTTGGTAACTGCATCATTTC